GCGGGCGGGGCGGGCGGCGGACCGGGCGGCGGCTCGCAGCTGGGAGGCGGCGAGGGCCGGCTGCCCGGCGTGCTGCTGGACGACGTGGACGAGTGCGCCGCCATGCCCGACCTATGCGCACCCGGCAGATGCGTCAACACTATCGGCAGGTGAGACTCGAGGATAAGACTGTTCTGTGTGCGAAGTGCAGAAGCGAGAGCTACAACGCGTCGTGTTCAGTTTCCGGTGCGTGTGCGGGCTGGGCTACAAGGCGGCGGGCGAGGTGTGCGCGGACGTGGACGAGTGCTCGCGGCGGCCGGCGCCGTGCGGCCAGCTGTGCCGCAACAGCGAGGGCTCGTATGAGTGCCTGTGCCGCGCCGGCTACGAGCTGGACGAGGACGGCGCCGACTGCCGCGACATAGACGAGTGCGCGCGCGGCTCCCACACCTGCCAGCAGACCTGCATCAACACAGAAGGCTCCTTTGAGTGCGACTGCCAGGAAGGATACGAGAAGCGCGGCGACGCCTGCGTCGGTGCGTCCTTTGAAATATACTCATTGCTTATACTATCTTAACTTTTAAGGGTTTTTTTTGTTCGCTAAATAAGTATTTTTAACCAATCCACTCTGATCGTCATTTTCGCGTCTTACTTGTAGACATCAACGAGTGTCAGGAGGAGGGCCTGTGCCCGGCGCCGGGCAAGTGCGTGAACCTGCTGGGCTCGTACCGCTGCGTGTGTCCGCGCGGGTTCCGGCTGGACGTGGCGGGCGCGCGCTGCGTGGACCGCGACGAGTGCGGCGACGGCCGCTGTCAGCCTTGCCGCAACTACGCCGGTGGCTACCGCTGCGAGTGCCCGCCAGGTGCCTGCGCCTTGCACATGCATATAATATGTGTTAATTAAGGAAGTGAGATAAATATGGTAATCGGATCGTGATCGTGTGAGCAGGTTCAGTGCGCGCGGCGAGCGGCGGGTGCGTGCCGCAGGACGCGTGCGCGGAGGGTCCGTGCGGCGCCGCGCCCTGCTTCCCGCTCGGCGCCGCCTACCGCTGCGGCTGCCCCGCCGGCTACGGCTGGGACGCGGGACACGGCGTCTGCCTCCAGGTACACTCACATACACGGACATCGCTATGTATAATCAAACACATACAAGAAAATAGATATTATTATATATATGATTATACGCAAGTTAAAATTATGTAGTAGCACAGGTCATCAAGAACGTTTATCAATCCGCTTTCTAACAAATTTGCGTGTTTATTAATGTGCGTTAGCTGGGCGGCGGGTGCGCGGGCGCGAGCTGCCTGTTCGGCTGCACGGCGCTGGGCGGCGCGTACCAGTGCGGCTGCCCGGCGGGCTACGCGCTGGTGGGCGCCGGGCACTGCCTGGCCGCGCTGGACGCGCCCGGCGACGGCGACATCGGCGACGCGCCCGTCTTCCCCGTGCGCGACCAGTACCGCGTCGGCGGAGACTCCGACCTCATATCCACTGAGGGATGCTTCAGCTGCAAGGTACACTCCTCGTTTACCTTTACAACTTTTATAGTACCTAGAATGAGAACGAGCACTTTTTTGGAACTTGTAATTTTATATCTAACTTGTATTTTACGTTAATAATGTTATCGCGTACAGATGAACGGCCGGCACAGGAGGGCGCCGGAGGAGGGCATCGTGTTCGCAAACGGCACCACTTATGTGCGCCGGCGCAGGAGGCGCAGCAGACGTAAGTGCACTAACAATAGCCGCGATAGGAATAGAATCAAATACAGGAAAGTGTAAATAAATCCAAACTAGTTGTGATATCGAAAACAACGGAATAAACGTATAGTTTAACGTAGTGTTACTTAAATTTTTGTATCAGGTCGTCGATCGCTGCTGGAACCCGAGGCGGAGTTGATAGTGGTGAAGGTGACGCCGCGGCAGACGTGGGGCCGCGCGCCGCTGCTGCGGCTGGTGCCGGCGGAGGGCGGCGGGCGGCCGCACTACCGCATCGCCTACGGGGACGACGACAAGGACTTCGTGCTGTCGAAGCGCGACGGCGCGTGGGCGCTGCGCCTGCGCCGGCACCTGAAGGCTCAGGCGGCGCTGGAGCGGCAGCTGGAGCTGGAGGCGCGCTTCGTTCCCGCACCGCAGCCGGGCAGGCGGCGGCGGCGGCAGCTGGCCGCGTCTGCGCCGGCGCCGCTCCGCCTCTACGTCTCCATACACATCGCGCCCGAGCGCTGACGCCGCGCCCTCTACTGAAACTCATCTATATTATTACCACGTCCCGAATGTCACTGCCACGAACACTGCCATTTTTATTCGCTGTCAAAGTCGACAGCTGTCGCCACGATCCGCCATTTTTAAATTGTCGTTTAAAGTTCCGTCAATGTGTGTCCGTCTGCGGGCGAAGTGATTCTGACTCGACCGGGGTCGGGTGCGATGCAATATTTTGCACAATCTAGTAGTGGTATATGTATTTTATAAGTTCATTTTTAATTATTAGTGAATTTTTGACTTATAAAGTTGAAAATATATTTATTTAAAAAAATTTGAATAAGAAATTAATGTTGAAATTCTGAATAAAATTAACGAGACTTATATAATTTATAGTTGTACTGATTTTTATCGTCTGTTAAATTTAAGGATGTTTATATGAGACGGCGTATAATGTAAGATTGTTTTGGATTGTTAGTTGTTCAGAATATTGTTCGGCTCGGCTCGAGGGTCGGTGCGGAGCGACGCGATCTCGGCAGTATTAGATTGTGAGCGAGGAGGCGCGGCGCGGCGCGGCGATGTGATGACGTCACACTATCCGCGGACTACATCGCTATATGTCAACATCGACAGGTCGGTCTGCGTTGGCGCAGGATCTTGAAACGGGTGGTTTTAAACATAAATTTGAAACTCCTCATACTCGTTACTTATTCCGTTCTCATTCCATTCTCTGGAGTAAGAGATTGTTGTAAAGATCTTAAAAATATAGTACATTTTAAGGATTAAAGTCTTGTTTAGTTCGTACGTTGCCATATTGTAGTGCCAGTGAATAGAGACGCATAATACATAGAGATAAGGCAATTTATTTATTATTATTTACAACACTACTAAGGACACTGACTTCTACTTATTTTTTTATTTACTTTTACAAGTTCTAACGCTTCTTTGAGTTTTATAACGGATAGGAGTCGCAATGCAATAGAGTTTATTTTGTAAATATGTGTATACAGATTAATATAACTGAGGTTTTGTAACTTATATTGTTTAACTTAGTTATATAAGCCGTCGTCGACTATCATGTTAATAAATTTATAAAATAATAATTTTGCTGTTTTATTTAGCCATAATTAAAGGTGACTTCAAAATCTAGCCAACACTTTTGTAGTGTTTGTTACCCTTCTGCCTCCACACAACTTAAGCTCTGCTAGACATATGTATGTATGTGGTTTTGGAGTTTATTACTCATTATTTCCTGAGTGCGCAATCATCAAATGAGTACATATAAAATTCATAAATTTTAAGATACAAGAAAAGATCACACCATACTTTTTTTTTTAATAAAAAATTCAGTACTATGACTTAAATGAAGAAGGCCGCTTACGTGTCACTATACAAGAAGAAAAAGAAAACAATATCTGGCAGATAGCGCTGTCACCATGTCACAAATGATAACTTAATAGTGATTACATATTGAAAATAAACAGAATTGGTAGAAGAGACCCGCAGGGGTAGATGGAGTATCGGTTGTTGAGTGAGGCAAGAGTCGCGTGCCATGGCCGGTAAGAAGGAGGAGTTCTCGTGCGAGATGTACAGCAACAAGTTCTTCCTGCTGTGTTTGGCGGGCGGCGCTGTGGCGTGCGGCTCCACGCACACGTTGGTCACGCCGCTCGACCTCGTCAAGTGCCGGCTACAAGTCGATCCGGCCAAGTACAAGTCCATCTTTCGCGGCTTCGGGGTATCGCTGCGCGAGGGCGGCCTCGCCAACATCGTCAAGGGCTGGGCACCCACTTTCATCGGATACTCGCTGCAGGGCGGCGTCAAGTTCTCCGGCTACGAGTACTTCAAATATGCGTTCGCGAACATGACGGGCGAGGAGAACGCCTACCTCTACCGCACCTACCTCTACCTCGCCGCCTCCGCCTCCGCGGAGTTCTGTGCGGACGTGTTCCTCTCGCCCTTCGAGGCGACCAAGGTCCGCATCCAGACAACGCCTGGCTATACCTCCAAGATGCGCGTCGCTATGCCGCACATGATGTCCACAGAGGGCATAGGCGTGTTTTACAAGGGTCTGGTACCGCTGTGGGCGCGCCAAATACCCTACACGATGATGAAGTTCTCGTCGTTCGAGAAGACGATCGAGCTGCTATACGAGCACCTGGTACCGAAGCCGCGCAGCCAGTGCACTAAGGAGGAGCAGCTGGTGGTGACGTTCACGGCGGGCTATATCGCGGGCGTGCTGTGCGCCATCGTGTCGCATCCCGCAGATACACTCGTCTCCAAGCTGAACAAGGAGCCGGGCGCCTCCATAGGTAGTTTGGTAGCCGAGCTCGGTTTCTTCGGCATCTGGCGCGGCCTGGTGGCGCGCATCGTCATGATCGGAACGCTGACGGGCCTGCAGTGGTTTATCTATGACGGCTTCAAGGTATATACGGGCATGCCGCGTCCGCCGCCGGCCGAGATGCCGGCCTCGCTCAAGAAAAAGTTAGCAGGTAAAAAGTAACTGTTTCGTGTGAATTCTTTTATTTGTCGTCGGTTAAAATGTACCATCGTTTTTTGTTTGTATTTTATATTACAGAAGTAAATAACTATGTTTATTTATTTAAGAACTGTGTGTTTGTTTTGATATGTATTTTTAAAACACCATTTAAGACACTCGTCACCATTGTTGGTTTTTGCAAGATTTAGCAAACTCAAGTCGCAGGAAGTCACGTTTTGAACGCACGATAGGAATTTGTTTTATTATATACATAGTTCGTGAAGTGTCGGAAGGTAGGAAAGGATGGTATTGAACATGTACATAAAGTAGGAGAGGCTCGGCATCGCGCCGCCCGGTCGACAATAACAATCGCACGAGGCTTTGCCGGACAGCACCACATCTATCCGCCGCCCGCGCCGGCTTAGCCTGCACACAGTCTAAATTAGAAAGAATACTCAGATCTATCGACTACGGTATACTATGAATTGTATTAAAGTCTTGATTGTGTTGTTGCTCTTCTCTATTTCAGTTGTAAATATGAGGTATAGAGGTTTGACGTCTAATCTTTAATATTATATTATTCGTATAGGAAAGAGAGACAGAAAATAGACTATCTCTATTCCTTAACCTGTAGAACTGATATTTAAAGCTCAATGTGTAGGTATCTGTAGTTCAATATAACTTTGAAAATTAGTTGAAATAGGTTATGAATATCATTAACGTTGCTGTTCCGCTGACTTTGCTGCTCTGTGGCGGCGGCGGAGTGTAGAGCCGCAATGTTTTATAAGAGGTGGCTCGCCCGCGCCGCTCGGCCCCATTTAACATAATCTTGAACTATTCCGAGGACTTGTTTGTGTTGTTGCCGCTCGCTTTGAATAAGCCGGCCACTGATAGTGAGTTTAGTGGCCGTTTAGTTTATCTCTATCCCGGACAAGGAATGGCTCTGATGAAATTTATATAAACGATTTGTTACTCTTCCAACCACTTTTATTATTCCCAATGAATATATTCAGCTTCAACATTTTCAGTTAAATATATGTCGAGTTTAATTTTAAAATAGTACATTTTATTCGTGATTTAAGAGTACGTAAATAAGCCTCAATCTGGTAATCATCTCAGGAATTAATTCCAATCACATTGTGGATAAGGAGATATAGATCTACGCGTGTACCTTTGATTTCGTCCCTGTCTTGTTTAGTGTATTTGCTCGAACGACATTAAAAGGACTGACAATACACGAACGTAATTCAAAATTCCAGCATTCAGCTCTGAGCTTACAAATATCTGCAGGCTATTGTTTGGCGCGGAGCCGTCAGGTCCCGGTAACCCGATTGCGGGATCCCATTATATTCGGGAATTAGGGAGCGCCTGTGCCCCCGCCAGCCCACCAGCCCGCCACGCCAGCCCGCCACGGCCGGAGATCGAGCGCCCGATATGTTCAAACTGCGAGATAACAAATATGAAATTTGGCAGTTTTAGTGTGTGAAGCGAACAAATTTGGCCGGAATTAGGTTGTAGTTCGTACCGGCTTATCGATCTGATTTCATCCGTCGTTTATAACCAACACTGTTATCATAATTAAGTGTTTAGATATTAAGATATTTGGAAGAAATAAAATTTAAACTTAGGAGTGGATACACTGTACTCTAGTTTCTAAGATTATATTTGGCGATTTAAAAGTTACGTGCTAAACAGAAGAAACAATACGTTAATCAAATAAAGTTAGTCACAAGTCGTTGTAAACTTCACTAATTAGACTCGTAAATTTAACAGAAAAACATTTAACAAGCAATTTATCAAAACTTCGACACGCAATAAAAAGCATGGATTCGAAGCCAAATAACTTGGCAGCAGTTGAACAAGTTGCCGCTGCGATGCTAGCGCCGCTGCCTTTTATAATTTTTCACAAACTACGTTGGCTGTGCGCCAGTCGCGACCCGCCACCCGCCAACCACTAGTCAGCCTTCAGTCGCCGGTCTTCGGTCTACAGTGGCCAGTCTTCGGTCTTCATTCACCAGTCGTCAGATGATGATGACCAGAAACAAACACACTTTTGTAAAAACTACAGACTTGATTTTCTTTATTCTAGAATAATATGTGTTTTAAACTTTAAACAATCCAATATTATTGATGTGTATCAGATATCATGTTGTTCAATAAACTATTTGATTGACAGATTGTAATTTGCAGTAGTTCCCGCTTGCAAATGTGATATCTCATCTTATTTGTTGATAGATGCTTCAGATATAAATATTATCTATAGTTTCAAATTGATGGATTTTCATTTAAATATGTGCAGTAATGTAACGATAAACTTTCATCAAATCTAGGCTTGCAAAACCATTAAATAACTTTAAACATTTACAATTTGGTTAAATTTTTATCGGAATTTAGTCATAAACATAAATAAGCACATAAATAATAAGTTGTATAAAAGAAAAAAACATATTTAGTGAACTTTTAACTTACTTAACAAAGTTAGTTAACATGAAACCGAAGGGAGTATGATTCCAGCTGTATAGAGCTACAGAACGAGTTCATTTTTAGAACGCCGCTGCCGCCGCCACCGCCGTAATGACGTAGGAAAGCTACGAAATTTCTCAAAGTGCTTAAAAAGTTGGAACAGTTGAAACATTATAAATTGTTAAAAGGTGCTCTTGATGGTACAACTGGAAACAACCGTATGATAATTGCACAAGGTTGAAAATCGTTTATCAAGTGATCGCGCACCTGTTCGTATTTTTAACGGACAATTTTAACCGCGCAATAGCTCGTTAACGTAGTTTATAACATAAATTAAGGATACTGCTATCCTGTCCTTTTCTAATTTGCCTTTATTAAAATATGGCCA